CAGAGACAAAGCAAAGGAGTCAAAACAGCAATAATTGGTGGTGGTATACTCTTGCCAATTATCTTAATCGGAGCAATTGCTAGTTATCGAGCAAAAAAGAAAGCTCAAGAAGAAGAGGGAGAAGAATAATTCAGGCTAAAAATATTCGTAAAAACTAATAATAACCAAAACCACGAAAAATAGCCAACAAAAGTCTGAATACCAAATTTGAAAGAGTAGTAAAAAGAACCAGGAGAAGTGACAAAAGAACCAATTTTGGCTTAACTCCTTGGGCTACTGAACTAGACAGGGCTAAGCATAAACTTTTGTAAAACTATTGCTCGCTACGAAAGAGAAAATAACCTAACTGAAAAAGGATTAGCGAAAAAGTTAGGAATTACTCATGCCAATATTATTACGCTGGCGTGTTGGGTGCTTAAGATTTGTTTAAAAGATACATTCAAAACATTAAAATCCCGGCGGTCAGATTGGAGTCAATGCGATAAGTCTACTGGGGATACTTGCTTGATTTGACTTAAAGATTCCATGAGGAATTTTGGGTCTTTCCAGTTTGGATTTTTTAAACTTGTAGTTGTGTTTACGTTAAAAAAAAGTTATAATGTCAAGGTCATTAATTAACAATTATTCACAGAGGGTTTACAATTTCTGTTCGCAAATACCAAAGGGCAAAGTTTCTACTTATAAATTAGTCGCAATTGCTTCATATGGCAGCGCTTCATATGCTCGAACAGTTGGCAAAATTTTAAGCAAGTGTGAATGTGAGTTAAATTTAAATTCTTTGGATTCTCTTTGCGAAAACATTCACTGTTATCGAGTTATAAATTCAAATTTCTCGCTTGGTGGTTTTACTCCTAACAAAGGAGGCGGTAGTAGAGAAGAAATAAAAAGGAAAAAACTCGCCAGCGAAGGTTATTTTTGCGGACTTTCATGAATAGAGAAATCAAGAAAAACATCGCTTGCTTAAATTATAGCGATTGTTGAAATTATGCTTTTCAAAAAAAAAAGCTTCCTCTAAGTATCAAAAGAGACTTAATTAGCCTTTGCCAAACTACACCAGCTGAATTTTGGTTGAATTTTACTAATAAAACTTTGACCTTAAATAATTATCACCAAATTTACCAAAAAATCCAGCAATACCAAGAAAAAAATTTCCCAGCAGCTTACTTA